AAAAAAAAAAACATAAGGGGAAAATTGACTTTAAAATTTATTAAGTGGTACTTGGACAACTGCCTTAGAAATCAAAATGCCACTGAGAAAAATTAAAATTTTACCTATACTATACAACAGAAGAGCTCCCAGTTATCACAGATCTAAATGTTAAAAAATAAAATCATACTAGTGCTAAAAGAAAATCTAAGCTAGGGATGACGACGCAGCCTGTAACCCCAGCACTCTGGGAGGCAGAAGCAGGAAGACTGCAAACTCATGCTCAGCCTATGCAAACTAGCAACTCAGGGAGGCTCTGTCTCAAAGTAAAAAAGAGTTAAGGATGTAGCTCAGTATGAAGGCCCTAGGTTCACTCCTTACAAAAGAAAAGAGAAAAAGAAAATGTACAGAGAAAGAAAAGCTAGCTGTGGAAAAAGCATTACTGTGATTCAGTCTGCAAGCAATAAAAAGAAAAATATTAACTGCATAAAATAAGCTTCACATAAACACCCTAAGCTAAGTCAAAGACTAGTTAGAAACTTAGAAAAAAATATTTGCTAACATTTCATAAAGAGCTCAATTTCCTAATATATTACAAAAATCCTTCCAAATTTTTTAAGAAAAAAACCTTCTTAGAAAGTAAATGTTTAAGCCGGGCATGGTGGTGCACATCTGTAAGCCTGTTGTCCCAGCACTCGGGAGGCTGAGGCAAGAGGATCATTGCGAGTTCGAGACCAGCCTGGGCTACAGAATGAGGTCAAGGCCAGCCTGAACTGCATAGCGAGACCCTGTCTCAAAAAGACAAAAAAAAAGTAAATGTTTAAGGAAGCCAAGCCTGGCGGCATACTACCACAATCCCAGCATGCTGCCAGGCGGGGCAGGAGGACTGAAATTCAAGCCCAGCACGGCCAACCAGCGAGAACCTGTTCCAAATAGAGGGCGAAAGGGCAGCGGATGCCCTCAGTGCAGCCACCCTGCTCCAACGGGAGGGGGTTAAAAGCGAGACAGCCCTGGGACAATGTGCATGGAACGGGTATCTCACATGTGTGGGGTGTTAGGCTGCTGTACAGTGTGGTGCGGAGGCCTGCAGGGATGCACGCTGCAGTACGCATGGGTGAGCTCTCCGGACATCTCCAGGGTCCTTTCCAGCAACTTCACAAAAATATGGAAAAATGTTAACTTGTTGTTAATTCTGTTGAGAAGTATATATTACCCTGCAGTTATCACCTAGGAGGAAAGGGTACTTGTGCTTATAATAACACTTTATAATTACACTTGATGTATTTTCAACATTTTGAAATTTTTCAAAAATCAAAAATCAACATTTTGAAATTTTTCAAAAATCAAAAAAAACTTTCCTTTTTGTTCTTGTTGCTTTTTCTGTTTTCTGCTGCCATGAGCGTTTGCCCTCTGCCATGTGCCACCCTGCCTTGGAGCCAGCTGCATATGGACTGAAACCTCCACAAACTGAGCTAAATAAACCTTTCCTTCCCTTAAAAAAAGAAAAAAAAAATCTGGAAAAGCAAATCATTTTAAAGAGAAATAAAGGGAAATAAAGGAACTTTGTATAAAAGTCTATGATGTTATCTTAATAAACACATCTAATATATAAGCTAACATGTCACTCTCTTTAAATTACACTTCATAGGACCAGGAATATAGCTCAGTGGCACAGCACCTGCCTGGCAAGTGGAAGATCGTGAGTTCGATTCCCGGTACCAAAAAAAGAAAAAAAGTAAATTACACTTTATAGAATACAGTATTTAGTATTTCAATGAGAGTATCAGATTTTACAGTTCAGTATCTTTTCCAGAAAAAAAACACTATTATAGACATCCCTCACTTAACAACCAAGTTACAGTCCTGCACCTCAGTCATTAAATGAACTGGTTACTACATGAGGAGTTGTATATAACCAGAACAAAAAAGTGGTTAAAGGAAACTCCCACCTTGTGACTGCCTTAATTTTCATAACTCTTACATGCGGTTCTGTAATGTATAACAATTTTAAAACTACAGTACTGTGCTGTACAATCTGCAAAAATTACAGCACTGTATAAGAAGTGCTACACAAAAAGATCAGTGAGACTATAAACAAGATGTACAGAGCCGTACAAAAAGAAAGGCAGGGCGTAAGGCGAAGCAGTGGGCTCTAACTGCGAACAATCACTGAATATGTAGGTCGTTAAAACAAGAAATATCTGAAAATAAACAAATAATAAATAAACGAATACCTGCATCTTATAAATATCTCATCTCAGTTTATAGAACAGTAACAAGACCAAAGAGAACAGTGTTTCAACTTAATTGAATGAAATGGGTGTGTGTTTTGCTGCACCAGGGATTAAACCCAGGGCCTTCACAGAGAGGTACATCTGCACCCCTTTTTTGAGACAGGGTCTCACTCAGTCCCTACACTGCCCAGGCTGACCTCAAACTCGTGATCTCATGCCTGCGCCTGCCCAAAGCCGGGATGACAGGTGTGCACCACCACACACAGGTCAGGTGTGTCTTTATGACAACTATTCGGTTTTACAAAACTTACCAGCCTCAGGAAAGAACAGGGGTAAAATGAGAACATATGGGGGCTGGGGATTTAGCTCAGCGGCAAAAAGCGCCTGCCTGGCAAGCGCAAGGTCGTGAGTTTGGTTCCCGGTACCGGAGAAAAACCAAAAAAAAAAATGAGAACATATGGAAATACTTAAGTTGATATTAACAATTACTTGAGCCATCAAGGTTAGCTACCTAGAGACAACCACAGCCTAGCAACCCTCTACCAGTGAGCTACTGTGAGAGAAACTCGAACCCTGGAGAGCCGCGGGGTACTGACTCACCTGCAAGCTGTAATTACTTAAGTCGTTTCGTTTTTAAGTTGGGCCCTAAAAGCACAAGGAGTAGCACTCTCTGGAGACTCACATTTACAACTGGAGGGCTGGGGACCCGGGCCTCTAAAGGACAGCTAAGAAAGGGCACAGGAAAGACCGGAACACAAGGTAAGAACCAGCCTGCTCTGCCTCCAACACACATGGAGCACACCAGAAATTTATCCCACGCACGCCACATCCTCAGACCCCAATTAGGCGCTTCACACCAGAAATGCTCCTTTGTGAAACAAGCTCAGAGCTTCATAAAATGCAAGGAACCCTTCAGAACACAGTGTCTCGGCGAGGTGCCGCGGAAGATGCTCACAACCCCAGCTACTCTGAAGGCTGAGGCGGAAGCACAAGTTCAAGGCCAGACCCTAGCTCAAAACACTACACTTAAAGTGCAAGTCTGTTACTACAGCTTCTCATTCTTCTACGTTTAACTAGCAAGCTTCTCTTACTAGAGGAGTACAACAGAAATGAGCTTCATTTCACGACTGCCTTCAATGTTCTCTAAAAAGAAATGATGTAACAAAGTGCAATACAGAGAAACTCAGGGAGGGTTTGTTCAGATATGCAATATATTACTATACTTGAGTCTGAAATAATAAAACCAGCAGACTTCAAACTTCTAATACTGTGCTACCAGCGTAAGTAAACGCTTTGCCCTAACTACAGCAAAGAAAAAAGTCACCGTACCCAATATCTATTAGAGGTGGTTTATCTCTTCCTCTCTTGTAACACAGGAAAAGTTCTGGGCTTTTGAGACTTCCATAGTTCAAGTTGGCCTGGAGAGCTGATGGAGTGGCCTCAACACATGTGTAACCTTCAGGTACCTCCTCCCCAGCGGATTTGATAATAACGGCAATGTCTGTGATCGGAGCTTTAGGTCCAGCTGACGTGGTATCCAAACGATTTATTTCTTGATCCAGAAGAGTAGATGTGTCAGTGAGACCGGCCACAACGAAGTAGTCTGTCACTCTTGGTCCTTTGTCTTCTATCATGGCTGTTATTCTATTTCCTAAAAGAAGGATTGGGAGAAATGAAATCCGTTGAATGAAATATTTTATAATGACTCACTGAAATTAAAATAACCTTGAGTTAACAACAGTCAACGAGTATATTCCCAGTTAAATTTATAATCAGACTGTCACCTTTTCTCATACCATCAACCTTTCCTCCTGCGAAGTATGTTAATTTGTAATGTAACTACGACTGTTTCATGTGCCTAATTCTCTATGTAAGTGTCACGAGATGGGTTATGAGTGCTGTCCTTTGAGCAAAATACACTTTTTTCTTGAGACAGGGTCTCACTGTGTAGCTCAAGCTGGCCTAGAAGGCACTATGCAGCCCAAGATAGCCTCGAACTCACAGTGGTCCTCCTGCCTCAGCCTCCGAGGTACTGGCATTGCAGGCGTGTGCCACCATGAGCAAAATATACTTAATGAACAACACTCAGCCCATATTTTTAAATTATCTTTGAAGTTGCAGTAGTCCTAGAGTCAGAACTTCACATTCAAACATCGTGAGTGGACTGGTCAGTACCTAACACAGAAAAATAAAGGAAATAAGGGTTGGGAGTGTAGCTCAGCGATAGAGGACTTGCCCAGCATGTGTTCAATCCCCAGCACCACCAAAATAAAAATAAAGGAAATATTAATAAGTATAATTAAAGCAGTCTTGTAACAATCCAGTTAGAACTCTCGTTGCTTGTAAGCAACAAACCACATAAACACCACATAAAATATTAGTTTGGGAATCACTAAGTATTTCACCCATAAATACTACACACATGAGAAACTACACCCCAAACAGATGAAACAAACATGAAATACACATTTGGGAGATCAGGCGTGATGTGGCAGAAGCACAGAGAATGTAAATGCTGGGTCACCACGTCGTGCGCACGGATGTGGCAGTGGAGGCCGGACCCAGGGGCGCACGTGCTGGGCAAGCATCCTGCCACTGAGCTGCAGCCCAACCCTTCACTTCTGAGATCAGCCCCAAGCAGCTGGGACTGCAGAAGTATGCCCTACAGCTGGGAAGGCAAGGATTTACTCTTTAAACCCAGTATCTTTAGTAAGAAACCAAGCTCCCGAAGTTGTAAGTATTTCCATAGGTCTTATGTGCTTTATTAAAACAACTTTACTGAGCTCATTTAAATACACAATATAAGCTGGGCGTGGCAGTGCACGCCTGTAATCCCAGCACTCAGGAGGCTGAGGCAGGAAGACCGTTGCGAGTTCGAGGTCAGCCTGGGCTACCAAGTGAGCTCAAGGCCAGCCTGAACTGCACGGCAAGACCCTGTCTGAAAAAGGCAAAAAAGAAAAAAGAAATAAAACCACACAATATAATGCACATACTGTATTCTAGCTCTCCATAACCTCTCCTCCCCAGACAACAATCTGTTTTCTTTTTCACTTAAAAAAAAAATCAGTTATAGACTGTTTTAATTAAAATTTACTGTTCAGCACTCAGGAGGTTGAGGCAGGAGGATCGCTCTGAGTTCAAGACCAGTTTGGGCTACATAGTGAGTTCAAGGCCAGCCTGAACTGCAGAGTAAGACCCTGTCTCAAAAAAGAAAGAAAAAATTACTGTTCAAACTTTCTTTTTTTTTGAAATAGGGTCTTGCTATGTAGTGCAGGCTGGCCTGGAACTCATGCTGATCCTCCCAAGCGCTGGGATTTCAGAGGTGAACCACCATGCTCGGCGTGGTCCAAACTTTCAAATACAACACCTGTGGCAAAGAACAGTTAACACACAACTAGGGCAGCTTCCAGAATTTGTATGAACAGAACAATACAATATGTATTCTTTTAGGGGGTCTGACTTCTTTCACTCGTTGTAATTACTGAGATTCATTCATGTCGTTCCCTCTATCAAACGCGTATTCTTTATTGATGAGTAGTACTCCACTGTATGAATTACTACAGTAATTTATCCATTCACTTACGTCAATGAACACAGACATTTGTGTTATTCCAGTTTGAGGCTATTACAAATAAAGCAGCCATGAACACACATGTACAAGCTTTAAGGACCTATGCTTTTAACTATTTCATTCCTAGAATGGAATGGCTGGATTATCTGATATATGTTCTTCTGAAAAATGCCACATGGTTTTTAAAGTGAGCATACCATCTTAACGTTCCTACCAGCATCATGTGAGAATTCACATCTTCTTCCACATTTCATAGTCAGTTTTTTTGTTTGGTACCAGGAACTGAACTCAGGACCTTGCACTTGCTTGCCAGGCAGGCACTGTACCGCTGAGCTACATCCTTGGCCCCATAGTTAGTTTTTAGACATTCTAAAGTCTAAAATCCTACTCCATTCTAAATTCCACTTCTGTACATCATAGGTATGCAGTGATATGACACTGTGATTCCACTTTGCATCTCTCTGGTAACTAATGATGCTGAACACATTTTCCCGCAGTCATGGGCCACACAACGGCATTCTGGTCAACAGGAGACTGCAACATGACAGCGTTCCCTGAGACTGTACCACCTAGTGACCTTATAGCCATCTGAGTTTATAGAACTACATTCTATCATTATAGAACAACAAAATCACCTACCTACGTGTTTCTTAGAATATATCCTTTTTTTTGTTATGTCTTTTTGAGACAGGGTTTTGCTATGTAGTTCATGCTTGCCTTGAACTCACTATGTATCCCAGGCTGGCCTCAAACTCACGGCAATCGTCCTGCCCCAGCCTCCTGAGTGCTGGAATTATAGGCGTGCATCACCATGCCCAGTGAGATTATATCCTTGTTGAAAAGACTGTACTTGCTCTTCGTGGATCTCTCTTCTTGGGTGAAGTTTCTGTTCAAATGTTTTGACCATTTTTTTAATTGCATTTTTTCTCCTTATTGAAAGTTGAGAATTCTTTGTATTGCAGAGCCAAGTCATTTACCTGGCATACACTTTGCAAGTATTTTCCTGCACTCTGTAGCTTGTCTTTTCATTCCCTTCTTGTGTCTGTTAAAAAGAACAGATGAGGGCTTGGAATAGCTCAAAGGCACAGAGCTTGCCTGGAAGACGCCGAAGTCATGGGCTCGATTTCTGGTACCAAAAAAAAATGTGAATTAAAAAAATTTTTTTAATTTCTGATGAAGAGCAATTTATCAACTATCTTGTTTTTTGGGTTTTTTTTTTCTTGGTACCAGGAATCGAGCTAAGGACCTTGCACTTGCCAGGCAGGACCTTATGCCACTGAACTATATCCCTGGCCCCAAGACCAATTTATCAATGTGGTTTTTTTGTTTTTTGTGTTTTTTTTTTTTTAACTCTGCTATGATTTCGTATTTAAGAAAGTATCTATTGGGTTGTGGTGGCACACACCTGTAATCCCAGCACTTGGGAGGCTGAGGCAGGAGAATCACCCTGAGTTCAAGGCCAGCCTGGACTACATAGTGAGTTTAAGACCAGCCTGAATTACAGAGTAAGACCCTATCTAAAAAAGGAAAAAGGAAAAAGAAAAAAAAAAAAAGAAAGTATCTAATCCAAGATCACAAAGGTTTTCTCTCTAAAAGTTTTATGATTTTTAAGCTTACATTTAGACCTATCATCCATTTTGAGTTCATTTTTGTATATGGTGCAAGGTATGAAATCAATTCATTTTTTCCATATGGATATTTAATCTTTCCAGCACCACTGCTGAAAAGATTCTACATTCTCCAATGTCCAACCTTTGCTCAAAACTCAACTGCCTGATATGCATAGGTCTATTACTAGATTCTTTATCCTGTTCCACGGATCTACCTATGTCAGTACTACACAGGCTTCTTTTTTTAACTTTTTATTTGTTTGTTGGTTTACTCTTTGAGATGAGGTCTTGTGGTCCAAGGTGGTCTTGATACTCCTACTTCAGTCTTCTGAGTGGCAGCGACAACACGTCCGCACCACTGACCCAGCTCTGACATTTTTCCACTGCAGTGCAAGGGACACATCCAAATGCCCCACCTCCAAGCTACACCCCCAGGCCAGCTACATGGGTGTGTTTCTTTATTTTTTGAAACAGGTTCATGCTAAGCAGTCCAAAACACCCTCAAATTCACAATCCTCCCACCTGAACTTCTTAAGCAGGCGGGATTACACAGCCCTGTGTCAGCATGCCCAGCTGTGCTGGGCATGAAAATGTGGTGTTCACTTTTGTAACTTTATAACTTAAAAATCCCTAAAATCTGGAGCCTGGTGCAGTGTGCGCACCTATAGTCCCAACTAGAGCAGTACTTGGGAGGCTGAGGGAAGAGGATCACTTTACTCAAGGGTCTGAGGCCAGCCAGGGCAATATAACAAGATTCATTCTCAAAAAAGTTGTAAAATCTACTGGTATTGGCCTTCAATTTTGTGCTTTAAACAAAAAATTTAACAAGCTTTGACTATCCTCAATCCTTTGCACTTTTTAATCCTTTCTTTTTTTTTTTTTTTTGGGGTCTTTTTGAGACCAAAATATAGTACTGTACTCAAAATACAGTACACGCTGGCCACTGAGCTCACTCTGTAGGCTATGCTGGCCTCGAAATCACAAGGATCCTCCTGCCTCAGCCTCCCAAGTGCTGGGATTACAGGCGTGCGCCACCACACCTGGCCCTTTTTCTTTTTTTAAATCCTTTTCATTTTAATAAGCATTTTAAAATCTCCCTGTCAATTTTTATATCCCCCCAAAAAAGGCACTGGAATTTTAATTAAGGTTGGTTGAATCTACAGGTACATTTATTTTTGTTTGTTTGTTTTTTGTTTTTCTTCCCGTACCAGGAAGCGAACTCACGACCCTGCACTTGCCAGGCAGGAGCTCTGCTGCTGAGCTAAATTCCCAGCCTCTACAGGTACATTTAAGCGTTCACATTTCAGCAATATTGAGTCATCTCGCCCAAGAAGGCTTTTGTCTGCATTTATTCAGCTCTTTCAGAACGTCCTCAGGCTGTCTCACAGCTTGCTGAGCACAGCTCTCTCACGTTCTGTAGTTCCATACGAGGCCTCTATGCTGAAGGTTTGGCTGTGTCCGCTGCTGTAA